AATACACCACTAGCATCCCAATGAAAATATCTGATGGGATTCATGTCAGAAAACTCGAAAAGAAAATAACACCCAGTGTATTGATAAGGACTGTTATATAGCCGATAGAAAAATTTGTGCGAACTTTAACACCCCGAATAATGAAAAAAAGTTTCTCCACGACAAAACAAAAAAATACGTGTAAAATATTTAAATTTTTCCTATCGGTTGTCCAAGTTAGACGAGTTAAACCACACTGTATATTTTGATGTTAAAAATGATACATGAAAGAATCTTCTCGGGTTCTTCATGCATTCAAGAAGTATACATGTTTGTGCTTCTTTCATGTATCATTTTTTAACATCCAAATACCGGGTGACACAGGCTATCGGGCCACCCCTGTAACTTCTGCATTCGTCAACGGATTTTTCTGAAATTCGGTACAGTTATATAAGCAACTATTTCGGATTTGATCACATTACAATCCAATATGGCGGACTTCCGGTTTTTCTGGAAATGCCAGCAATTTCGTTTTTTCAAATGGAACACCCTGTATATTTTTACATATTCAAGTTCAACAGGTCAAAACAAGTGCAATCTTGATATCAAATATGTCATTTATTCCGCAGCCTACCTAGTTGAAAAATTATTCTAACTGCAAGGAAATTCATTAACTAGTTGTTGATTTTTGAATGTATACAATTTGTTACTGCACCGAAAAACAAAAATGATATTTCATTTTGTTCCTTAATGTATGTTCTAGAGAAACGGGTAGGTGGCCCATAGGGGTTCCATTTGAGAAAAAAAAATTTTTGATCAAAAAGTGATGTGGCTGAATTTATTCCTGGATAAGTGACACAAAAAATAATTTTACAGAAAAAATTATGTTCTTCTGTTATGTGTGACTCATTGTGAATAGTCTTGACCACATCTCATTTATCCACGAGGTAAAATGAAAAAACAATTTTGATTAAATTTTTTTCGAAAAAATTACATTTGAAATAAAGATTGCACTTGTTTCGACCTGTTGAACTTGAATATGTAAAAATATACAGGGTGTTTCATTTGAAAAAACAAAGTTGCTGGCATTTCCAGAAATACCGGAAGTCCGCCATATTGGATTGTAATATGATCAAATCCGAAATAATTGCTTATATAACTGTACCGAGTTTCAGAAAAATCCGATGACGAAAGCAGAAGTTACAGGGGTGGCCCGATACCCTGTGTCACCCGGTATATACAAAATAACATCCTCCAAAAGGTATACTGGGTGAAATAACGTCCGTAAATCTGTCACTACCTGCCGGTCTATCATGTTAGCCCTCACTGAATAATTTTTATTGACTTAAAATTCACCTACAACCCTTTCGGGTTGTTAATTGACTATTAATTTATAGGATACTGACCAATTATTTCACAGAATATGCGAATATTGCAACACAAAATTGATTATCACCTACTCACATAAAATTCTGCCAAGTACCTATGTCAGCCTATAAAAAAATATATACATCGATCGTTAACCGCTACGAAAATTAAATAATAATTAAGTAGATCACATTTGCAGACAGAAACTTGGCGATACACGATCAAACTATAGTGCCTAGAACATCTGATATTCAGTACTTTTTTCAGAGAGTGAAGACGCAGTTGTCATGTCATTTGAATCAGCTGGAAAAAAAAATTAAACAAATGGTTTTCATAAGAGATGAAAGAGATTTCGGTGCTTCTCCATTGAACGAGTACATATTTTTTATAGGTACCTGAACAGGGCATATCTCTGAAGGCATGTCGTGATTGATATTATTTAATTTTTTCATGTATTTTCAGAAAATAATACTTTCTTTCCATTGATAATTCACAGGATACCTTCTTATACATGGCATTTATTTTTGTTTTTATTTTTTTATTATCTTTGAAAAATCTGAAGGATATGCTAGTCTTTATACCCAAGTAGGGTTTGTCAAGAAGCTTGGCGTTAAAGTGCATATAGGCGATATTGTTCTTTCACGATGTCTCAAAATACCAATTTGTACCGATTTATCTTCCTTAGAAATCCTTGATTAGAAGTTATAATAATCCCAAAATACTAACACAGTGGCGTCGGTGAAGTGTCAGAAAATAACAAGTTTGTTTTAAATCAGTATAATATGAGCTGCTTTTTTCGGAATTCACAAGAATATTTGCTGAAAATTCGTAAGAGAAGAAGATATGCAGTAAAGTTTGATAATATGTGAACCTTGATTACCGAAGCCACTGTGTATTTTTAGCAATAATAATAATTTCCAATCGAAGGCAGTTGGAAAAAAGATATGGTTCAATCTGGAAGAGTTTTTTTAATACACTTATTGATATAAAGTGGAGAAACTATAAAGCCTTGATGCACCTCAACGCCCCGTAGCATCTCAACGGCACCTACTTGCGGGTATTGAAACCAGTTTTGTCCTCGATATTTCTCAAAGATCTATCACTCATAGTTTTTTTTTGAAAAACTTCAGCTATTACTCAGAAAAAAATCCATGAATTAACTTATGAAAAACTACGATGCAAACAATTCACTGTTCAAAAGTGTTCGTTCGTGGTTTGATCCCGAATATTTTTTACACAAATGTTGTTTGTGACATCGAGTTCTTCACGACTACGCCTATTGGCGCATTTTAAGGTAATCAGATAACGATGATATGACATTTAGCAATAGGAAAAATATATTTGAGTTTCAATCTATGCGAGGAACTGTCTTCCCTATTGCTAAACATCAGCTGACGTTTGACATACAGACGTATGTATTGAGAAACTGAATTAGGATGAACGCGATGTTTCATAATTGAGATCGCCAAAGCCTACTCACCTAGCAATAAAGTAGGCTCCACTCACTTTTAAAACCATCTGAATGTCAGATCTTCAAGGAGGCACCTAGGGCTGTGTCAAGTCATTCGTCCGACCAGTGACACCAGGGTGATACCAGAATGGTCAATGGCTGTTCTGACTCCATTCGAAGTTGACGTGGTAACTTCGTGAGCAGGTTTGAAACTTGACCGACATTCTCAACCTGCTGGTTGGTCAGACTTCATACTGGACGTATGTGTCCGGTCAAACCAGAGACTTGACACAGCCTTAAATCAGACTTCCCGATTCACATTAGAGAGTTAAAGTATACACTGCACGTTGACCTCCACGTAGACGTTAACGTAGGAAAACAAATATTTACGGATTATCCTTAAATTGGGTTGAAGTCATCAGTGTCATCCTAACGTAAAAAATTAACTTTTGTTTATGGCTTGTATTGGTGTTTTGATCTGAACATTAATTCGTATTATAATGAGCGGAATCCTGGAGAACGTTTTGGGGATGCAGGCTTCAATAATCTTGACTCAATGGCATATTGCAGTTAACGTACGTTGATATTTGAAGTGTACGTGGAAGTAGTGATGGGGTACTCGAGTACAAAGAATAGGTAAGTATTCGATTCTCTGAAGTACTCGGTTGTATTCGATTCCTACTGAAGTATTCGAATACTCGCCAGAACCATAACTGCGATTATTGCAAACACCGAACTTGTTTCGCGTCAGTCTCGTCTCGTCCTCGGCAATTTGAAAGACCGAATGAATTGTAAACGGATGCGCATAGCGCATAACATAACTGCAAAAGTATGTGTTTTGTTTGTTAGTGTTGCTGTTGTTTTCCCGGCTAAAATTGTGAAGTTGATTGAATTTCGATTTTACAAGCTTTTTTCTATGGTTATTTCTGTTTGTCGCATTACCTAAACAGAGATGGTCATTAAAAATATCAAATTCAGTAGGTTGAGCAAACGCAAACGAAAATAGCTCAAAGGTACAGAACCCAGATGAGTTGTAGTTTACGAATAAGAGCCGGCAAGCCGCCTAATCGGTATTCGGTCGCTTGCACGATGACCGACCCTGGAGGTAGAACATTGGAACACAACCTCACTTTTCTGTAAAACATTGAATCACAACCTCACTTCTCTCATTTGTTTACACAGGAATAACAGGATTGAAATAGTTTTTCATAATATTTTGGCATACGAATCGTGTGTTTTGGACTATCCATCAATTCTAGCATGCCATCATATTGTGCTGTTGTACAATGCACCAAAAATGCAGCGAGAGACGAAGGAATATGAATTTTCAGGTAAATAGTGATCTAACATAGTTTTCATTATGACATCTCTCATTAGAATTCCTTCTGCGACTTCTGCAATAGAAGCTAATACTGCTGATTGAGTGAAAATGTCAACAACACACACATTCGTCAGCATGTTAGACCAGTCCTCCCGTTTGATTGCATGAATCCAATATTCTTGCCTTCCTTTAGAAACTTCACGAGTATTTATATTAGCTCCTATTGCAGAAGGAATTCCTCCTGAAAAATCAGACTCCTTCGTCCCTCGCTGCATTTTTTGTGCATTGTACAACAGCCGAATGTGATGGCATGCTTGGATTAATGTATAGCTAGAAAACACGATTCCTATGCCAAAATAATTGTGAAAAACTATTTCAATCCATTGTAAACAAATAAGAAAAGTGAGGTTGTTTCAATATTTTACCTCCACGTTCGGTTATCTGACCAAGTACCAAGTATTCGATTCTCGAAAATACCCGATTCTGCCCATCACTACGTGAAAGTACGCAAGATAATGTACCAGGTGAACAACTAAGAACGGCTGTCATATCTGTATTTCTTCCAACTTTGATAGTTTATATCCTCCGTTGGCGAAAAGCTATTATGTTGCGGTTTTCGTTGGCCTGTTGAGATTTAGTTTCTCTATTACATCGTATCATGATATGAATACCATTAGATTTATTCTATCCCAAACTTGTATCATTATCCGTTGCTGAGATAAATCCGACAGCCGTTCTTAGTTGTTCACGCCCACTACCAACACGAACGTGGAAAAGTGGAAAACGAGAAATGCCCTTTCGTAGCTGTCAATTTCAACGATTACGTTAACGTTCATGGCAGCACTTCAACTCTCTATTATGACACATTCCCACCCTCCCGTTCTACACGAACGATGAGAACCCGGGCAGGGGGGCCCGCGATCGCGCCATATTGTTCATGATGATCTGCCCGCCGTTGAGGCTCACCACGGCGCTGCCCTCCGGCTCCGAGTCCGTGTAGCTCGAGTAGTTGCGGACGGGCTTCTGCTTCTTCCAGGACTGGCGCAGCGTGTCGTTCACGTTGGCGTAGTGGTTGACGAACGAGTGCGGGTCCGAGCGGACGCTCTCGTTCTCGCTCTCGGAGCCCTGGAAAGGAATAGAGGGTCGGGTAGAGGTAGCGATAGTACACGAAATAGTTATTTATGTACAAAGTGCGTTATTCAGATCGGGCAACATTCATCTCTAGGTTCGAATGTTACCCTCCGGGCGTTAGGATCTAGTGACGCTCGTGGTGCATAGGTATAGTTTATCCAAAAACAATTGCAGATTCTCGTGCAACAACTGCAGTCACTTCAAAGGAAACTTCAGACATGCCGCACAGTGCAAGATATTCTGCAATTGACATTGGATATACTATACAAGATTTTATTTTTCACGAAAAATGTTTATTTATATATATTTAGCGGAGGGAGACAATAGACCGAGCTAAAATCTAATATTTTTTCCGTGTATATACACTTTTGCCTGCATTTTGCAGGCATCTTTATCAGTCTTCGAAGTAATCAAATATCTGTCAGTCTTATTCTGTGATTTGAATAATTGCGAATTAAGTGGGTGTTTACTAATTTACGTAACCGCGAAGATAAAAGGACTTGCAGTTCTTTCTCGGAGACAGTGTTATTAGCTTATTTCATTATTTATTTATGTGTGATATATCCGTGGAAAAAAGAAAGTATCAAAAGTGACATTTTATAACCTGTCAACAGAGATGAAATCAAATTTTCCTCGTCACAGAAAAAAATATCTTATTATAATTAAAAATCGACTTTGAAATCGGTTTATTGCTCCTAGCATTTTCTTTCCATTTTTATATCGATAATACCAGACATGATGGTAGTTAGGATTAGATCATCTAGCTACAGGGTGAGAAATTCAGACCAAGAAATAGAGGAGAGTTGCGTCAAAGAATAATAACAGTTTACAGAGGGATGCCCAGAAGAACTGTGGCGTGTTGAAAATAACGTGAAAAGTTCGAAAGAGATATGAAGTGTACAGATAATGGAGGAGATTTGATCAAGAATACAACAAATCAGAACTTGTTAGGAATGGTTGCTGTTTTAGTTTTTTTTCTAATTTTTATGTTAAATTTTGATTGGTATTATTTAGTTTTTCCTTCTTCTCTTCATTTCATGATATAAAATTTGAATTTCTAGTGATTTTATTCGATATTTATCTTACTCTATAGACAGATGACAAATCCTGACTGCCATCATGCCTGGTATCATTCAAATTTTCATCACAATTATTATACACGGTGACTTGTCAAATGCAATTATCCAAAAATTGACATTGATAAAAAACACCTCTTATGAGATATTGTTTTGAAATTTGATATGAGAGTATTCGTGACTAGTCCGAATCGATTGCCATTATCCAAATTTCTGTTGAAAAATGCCTAATCCGTTTTCTTCAATATTGCTGAAGTTTTTGTGATCGCAGTAGGCCAAAAAATTGTGTTTGATATTTTTTTTGCTCCACACAGAAGTTACTAATGAAAACAAAAATTCCTTAAATCGTCCTAAGAGTACGAAAGTACAGGGGTGGGGTGGAGCAAATTGTAACACACTGTATATCACCAAATTGGTCAGTACACGTCCAAGTATCCATAAAAATGGAAACACAAAATTTTTCAAAAACATAATGAACTCATACAGTGCTTTTCTTCAATGTCCCAATGTGAATAATGTGAATTTGAAGGTATTTGCAATTTTTGAAGTGACGAAAATGTCGATATTATTAGGAGAATCAGGGCGTGCTTACCAAATACCGAATGGGGATACCATTTTGAAGGGACATTTCACATTGAATGCACATAAGTCCGAAACTTGACTAGTTAGGTATAGGTATGATATACATAGAAATGACGCAAATTTCAACAGCTTCCCGAATATTTAATGATAATCAACTCAGTCACATCGTCAAGCAAACGAAATAACTGTAATTTTTACCATCCCAACGGGATTGGGCTGAAGTATAGAGAACCTCCAAGTATAACCTAACTCCAAACCAAATTTCGATATCATAGTACTTACCTCTTGACTAAAATATATTGGCATTTTTAGAGGTAATGGTTTTCGAACAAATAAATTATTTAAAATAATTTTTACTTAGGAAACGGTAACAGCTGTAGCTATACTACTTTCTAATAGAAGTGGCAACACCGCTTTGTCGAAAATATTTTTGCTGGGTAGAGAATGTCTGAATACGTTCTCCATCAAATTTTCAATTGATTCGTTGTCTAGTTCGCCAGAAACGTCCAATGCGCTATCCCACCGTCAATCAGCCTGTATACATTAGGATTTTTATTTTTATTTTTGTTTTTATTTTTGTTTTCAGTCAAATCAATGTCATGCAAAATTATGTTTTTTGTGTATCAATAAAATGAGTGACAGAGGATACCTGTTAGACATGCTTCTGTAACATAACCATCTTTATTAGTCATGTTCATTATGTCAATATGTATTATGTTTAATTGTGATTCATGCAATAAGCAGATTATTATATTGACCGGTAAAAGTATAGAATCAATTCATTAAATATTCGAATTATATCAGGTCGATTTTTTTTAAATCCGCCCATTTTGTTTTGTCACCAGTTTTCATTTAATTAGTCCTCTCCACCGCAGATGGGAATAGATTATGACACTCTGATTTCAGCAATATGCACATGTGTATTCCTTCTGGGTTGATTGAAAAGAAAGGTGCAATTTAAATAAATGGCTGATATTCCCATAGCTATTAGCAAATGTGGGTTTTTTAAAGGAATTATTAAGGAATAAAAATATCCCAAAGACGAATCACAACATCGATAATTCACCTACCTATCTTGAATTTCCCTTTGATGCAATGGCAACTATAGGTAACACAGCTACACTGTCACATCATTGTATCGTTTTAAGTAGTTAGTGTTGTAGTACAATTCAACTTTTGATAAATCATATTCCTCAATGTATTATGAAACAATAACAAATACTCAAGTGCAGGTACTGACATGCTAATGCTAATGTAACCTAATAGGTATTTACAATGTTTTATGAAGGATGCATGAAATAAAAAAATCAAGTGGTGCAAATATCTAATATTTGAACATTTCAGATTTATGTTTTATTTTGGCAATCTAATACGAACCACTTTTCCGAATTTAATGGGATGACTGAAAATGAAATGTTGAATGGTTTGACTTATTTGAAACATGTTTTCTTTGACAGTTTTTCAACAATAGTTATTCTCGATATTAAAACTTCGCATCTTCCATGTTAAACTTTTTTAACTCAGTGCCATTGGTTGAATGTATGCATCCATCAAGAAATCGAATATTCACATTACATTAGTTTCACAATAGTTTCCTTATTTGTACAACTCATATTGTATAATTCCACAAATGAAATTCATTCATTCAAATGCAACTTTCAATGATTGTATGAAACGTTTTTCACAATATTTTTTTGATAATCATAATTAATGGGGCAAGTGGAAGAAGGGGTTATGTTACAAATATGAGTTTGTGAGAAAAATAGGTTTTAGTTAAGTTAGCTGGCATTAACGGAAGCTAGTTTAATAACTGAATTCATGCAATTGTGAGGAATATTTTCAGGTTGATTATTTATGATTTACAGCATTTTGCTATCATATCATTTTTTGATAGACATCTGTTCCTGACATGTAGGCAATGGCCACATAGCTCTTTCTTCCATTGCATCCTTGATGTTTAATGTAACATAGCCCCTTCTACCACTGTGTATCTGCTCAGATATGAGGAATAGAAACAAATCCTGACAGGACAAGTTGCATATGCATGTAACACGTTCTTCCATGACATAACCGAATATTATCAGAAAATGTTACTTTACCCCTTCTTCCACATGCCCCTTCAATTTGATATTGAAATTCTGAAGTGATAAATTTGAGCTTTCAAGACTTGGAATCCACGTGAAACATTGGAACAAAAAAGGGTGTATTTTGTTACATTTAAATTCATTGAATTTGGCATTCATTCTTGGGTATATCAGTTTAGCTATTCGACTGTTCTTTGAAATTATAATATTATTCATTATACATGTTCAAATCAGGATGTGCAGTTGGAAGCTGGCAACTTTCAATAAGCAATTATACTTACATAATACACAGTGATGAAATTTGTTCCATTAGCAGCCTGAATAAAGATCAATCAGTCAAGCACATATTTTTTTAATGTTTTAATTGTTTGCTTATTTCCATTGATATCATGCACGAACTAGCAGGTGAAACAAAAGTTAGTTCCTGATTTGGATTTTCAATGACAAAGGTCATATCGTCTATACTAGCGTCTAGCGCAAGGAGGTATTTGTATAAACAACGTAGTGGGAGAACCGCGCAAGCGAGACGCGGACGCGGACAAACATCACCTATGCCCTCACCTATCGACATGCCCGACGAACGTTTTGGAGCGAAGGAATATATATACAGTATGATGCAAATGTATGGAATAAATTCATTTCAAAACAAGACGACTTCCAAAAAAAATCCAAAAAGTAGAGTTCAGAACTTTTTTATCGATGTATTTTTTCAACTAGACGACCCTTCGATGTTCAATTCTCAGTAGAAGATCTCTGCAAGATTCAGTTAACCAAATGATAATCCATTTTAATTTCAATCTTCTTTTGCAAAATTTTGACTATTGGATAGACGATCAGTAGACCTTTCAAACGAGGTGTCACATGACCCCTGTTTGTATTTAAAAAAACCGTCCATTACGTCATTACCCCAACACCGGTGACGTAACATCTCTCATATGAATATCATGAGATGAGGTTTCAAAAATTAAAACTCACGTGTTTTTGGAATATCTTCAAATGTCGCCCATTTCTGAAATAATGAATTTATTCCATACATTTGCATCATACTGTATATAGAACTTCACATTTTCTCCAGAGATACTCTCTGCGATGACCACGTCATTCTGACCATCTACCAATTTTGGATTTTCAAATGGAATAATACATTCTGTACATTATTCTATCACTGATTATGGGTTATACCATTACGATACCACAAATATACTGACAATATATCAACTTACTTGCCATTATCACTAGTCTTATTATTAGT